GGATCAGGAAATTGAAACGAAAAATGGTAAATATGTAGACACCTTTAAAATGGAAGTAGAAAATGATAAGGATATCATTGGAATCAAAGATTTAGATATGATATTGGAGACGGAAAATCCACCATCAACCAACATTGCCAAAATTCCACGACGCTTACACGTACACGAAAAAATAGAATCAACCAGTCACGAGTTTTTACGAACAACAGACTTTGAATACGTAAAACTATATTTTGCTTTAGGTGAAAAATACACTTCGATCGATGTTCATAAAAGTCAACAAGAAAGAGAGTTTATAGTGCATTTATCGTTTGCCGAAGACTCCATCCTTGAAGGTGGTGGTTTTATTTTTAGAGCCAAGATAAACATCGAAAAAGAAAAAATAAAATATTCCTATCATCTTAACGAGGACCATACGAAAAAAGAAATATCGTTAGTACGCGTAAATGTTTTTACTTTTAATACCCGCAAATATAATAATGCTAGACCAAACAAGCACGCTCTATATGATATTCCGTGGTTCTATTTATCGGAAATTCACTTAATTTAACGACTTAAAAAATGGAACTCGAAAGCAGACAACAATACATGATAGACAAACAAGAAGAGTTGAAAATAAAGTTGAGACAGTACAATTCATGCAGGAAAACATGGAGTAGAATCGATTCTGTTTTCAAAACAGCGAGTGTAGTTCTAACGATAGGAACAACACTTGCAACGGCCGTGACTGGTGGATTAATGGTTCCTGTACTTGTCCCAACTGTATTAGCCACAATTACTGCTATTCAAACTTCATCTTGTGGCTTGATTGCTATAGGTTTCACGAGTAAAAAGAAAGCTCATTATAAAAAGAAAACGGATATCTTGAATATGTATCTGAATCAATTGTACATCTTTTTCGAAAGATCAAGAGAAGACAAAACATAACAGTTGAAGAATTACAAGAATTCAATGAAATTTTGGACAAATTCCATACAGAAATATCAGCGGTCAAAATAAAGAAATAATCAAAAATATACACTTAAAAAAATATGATTAAAATCGAACTTGATGAAACATTGATAGAAAACGCCCTATTTTCCGATGTTATCAAGGCTATCTCTGATAAATTTAAAACATTCAAAGGACAAATTAAAATAGATGGAGAGATAGTCGAGGAAGGGAATCACGGACAATACATGTCACTCCTCGGTTTCAATGCCAAAACTTTTCACAATATCTTTTCAAATATGGACAAAAAATCCGATGCTTCCGATTGGTATTTTACAGGAAAAATAATTTTAATGAAAGACAATTTCCAAGAAATAAAAAGATCGAGAGTTGGAGGAGGAACTGATCTACTTAAAAAGATCAATGAATACGAAGGCGAAAATTGTTTGGGTCACTGTTTTATCAAATGCGTCAATCGTGTTTTGAACAAAGATTTAACGTGTAAATTTCAAGAATACATCAACGGGTTTTCAAAAGCAAATAGAAAAGGAGTGATGACTTGTGCTAGAATGAATGAATTCAACAAGAAATTTAACACTTCGTTTCAAATTTATAATCCCAAAAACAGACATTTTCACCCCAGAGACGTTCACGATGAATTAGATTGGATTTTGTACTTACACAACTCGCATTTCTGTTTGATTAGAAGAAGCCAAAAAAGTTTGGGAATTCAAGAAATAGAAGACAATTACGAACAGGTGTGGAAAACGTGTAGAGACGACAACGCAGTAACACAGGTTTCACCCCTCAAACTAAACGTGCTTTCGAGTATGAGCGATGATGCATTATTCGCTTGGGATTGCGAAACGTATTCAGTAAAAGACACGCGAAGAGCAATTCCATATTGTTGCACTTTAATTAATTTAGAAAAACTAAGGAAAATGTTAAACAGAATAAATAATCTCCTTCTAGATTTAAAGCCGTCAGATCCCATTCCAGAAGAATTTTATGATAGTGATCTATAGTGATAGTGATTTATGATAATGAATGTAGTAGAAATATTTGTAGGTACAGATTGCATCGATCAAATGTTGAAATATTTAGGTCAATATGATAGAAAGAGATTAATATTAATTTCTCATAACGGCAGTGGATTCGACAACTTGATCGTGCTTAAAAATGCAAAAAAACTAACGCATTGCCCTTTAAAAACACCCAGAGGAATTCTATCTTTTCCTTTATCTAATCCATACACAGATGAAGATTTACAGAAAAAATGGAAAAGACAGAAAGAAATAAAGGGTAATTATTTTCAACATATTAACATATTAACATATTAATTTCACGTGTTCCTATCAACACGAATCCTCTAGTTTGGCTGCATGGGGAAATTCTTCCAATCTCCCCGCGAATTTGAGAAAGATTGTCGACGTAGATATCGCTAAATACACGCAAGACAACTGGGAGGAATTGAGACACGAATGGGAACCTTACGCCAAGAGAGACACTCTCTGTTTGGGAGCTTGTTTGATAAAATACAACCAAGTCGTCGTAAACCAAAATATGCCCAATAATCTAACGGCTCCATCTTTATCTTTAAAGGGTTGGTATTATTTATATCATTACGATAAAGAAATGGTGGAAGAAGAATGGTATGAAACTACTAGAATGGTTGCGAAACATTCGGAAAAACAAAACATTGAAAAAGTTTATTCGCACACTAATCCTTTTATAAGGAATTTTATCAGACGTTCTATTAAAGGTGGGAGAGTCTCTGCTAACAGAAAATCGTTCGAAACGAACAAAATGAATGAGATCTGCGCCATATTAAAAGAATACAATGAAAGGAATAATAGATTTATTCAAAGAATACAGCGCAAGCACAAAAGACAAAACGGAGGTTCATTCGAGACTTAAAAAAATAGAATGTACTACCTAGTCATTTGGGATCATTCGTTTTATCTCACAGTAAAAAAATAATGAACAATTTCATTCACGTCATAAATGGATTTTATAAACCCGAAATATACTATACCGACACTGATAGTTTGTACATTTCATCCAAAAATTGGAAAAAACTAAACAGAGCTGGTTTGGTCTCCGAAAAAGACTATTGCAAAGGTAAAAACGATTACGGTGACGGTGGAATTATATTTGGTTTATATTTAGCACCAAAAGTCAAATACAACATCGTTTTGACTTCTGATGGTGTCTTAAAAGAAAAGAAAACGTTTAAAGGTTATTCTAATGATAAGATAAGTGTAGAAGATTACGTTCAGTTAGCAAGCGGACATGATGTGTCGAACGAATTTAATAAACCGTGGGAAAAAAGTTTCACCAATGGAGTAGTTATTCCAAATGATAAACAAACTAAAGTTTTTAGAAGTTATTTGAATAATGTTAAAAGAAAACCACCAAACAGTGAAGGAATTATGTATCCTTACAACGACAAAGATGAGTATTGTTTTGACGAAAACTATGAATTTGATGATTTCGATTATCTTACTACTCAAGAAGAGAATGAAGATTGTTTTAAATGAAGTTGAATGACAATTTCTTCGTTGCCAAAGTCTATGAACATGTTTTTACTGTCTTTGATTTCCAGATTTATATCTTTGATCATGAAAGAATTGACTGGTAAATAGGTCGTTTGAAACGGTTTCTCTATAATTCTGTATCCGATCGGCACCGTAAAAGTCGGTATGCTGTATATGATTTGGCGTTTGTGCTTGTTGAAAAATCCACCGTTGATCAAATTACAGTGAATGTTGATCACGTCGATATCGTTCTCGATGTTGGCCTTGTGCGACGCCAATGTCGATTGCGCGTATATTCGTTTATCGAACCCTAGTAACGCATTCAACGAATTTTCTACGTTGAAATCGACTTGACTGTTATTTCTCAAGATCAGTTTTATTTTGTTCAGATTCAAATTACCTTCGAATTCGATATTGTTTTTGCCGTTCACGCTTCCTGCGTATTCGGATAGGTAATCGTTGATGGCTACGTATTCGTAGCTTCCCGGTAGTAAGCTTATGGTTTCGAACGTAACTCCGTTATCCGTCGATATTTTTAGTTGATTGTTTTTTTCGATGACGTTTCTAATGGAATTGTAAACGGAGAAATACTTTAATCCCAGTTCGTACTGTTTATTGCGATCGAGTTCATACTCGTAGTCTAGAGACAATTTGATGTCTGGTTTATTCGAGGTGATAACGAATAATTGTTCTTTATTGGACATTTTTAATTTTTATTATTACATTTTATATAGTCTTTTTTAGTGATGATTTCTTTCTCCAAAAGTCGTTTTAATATGGCATTGACTTCGTTGTATTGTCTGTCCGATCGATGACCTTCTTTCATGGCCGCTAATATTATTTCTAATCTATTAAGCAATTCTTTATTGTCGTCGGATAAAAACGTTATGCCTTGTCCAGATGCCACCATATCATCGAATTCGTCTATTTCTTGTATGATTGGTGGATAATCTTCTGCATAATCGTCTGATTTCTCTTCCTCAATAACTCTTGTTATATAAAAATCAACTTCTTTCCATCTTCTTGTTTCGGGTCCTGACTTTCTTATTGCATGTAGAAATTTTGAGTATGCAACTAAATCCTTGTAATCGGCAATTTCAAAATCCTTACCATTCATTAAATCTATTAACCCTCTCGTTAATGTAAATATAAAGTCTTTTGTGTCGATTTTGAATAAAGGGGAATTTGGACTAAATATTATTCTAAATCCATTAAACAATAAACCTTGATTATCAACGTTTGGTGAAATGCTCTTTGGTAAATCTGGGTCAGGGTTTGAAAAAAGACGTTTTATATCATCTAATGTCCTAATTATAATACCATTATATTCAATCGGTTTGGGTTCTATATGAGGTGTGGGTTCTTAAAGCTCTAGAGATTTTAATATGGGTTGAAATAGAGTCTGTAGATTTTCCGTTAATCCGAGTTGTTGTAATCTGTTATTTTCAACTTGGGTCTTTATTTTATTCTTAGGTTTGATATAATCTCTATTTCTTTTTAAAAAATTATTCCAATCCGTCATTTTTAAAAAAATAAAATTAACATATATCGATCATAACTCTTTCTCCCGCAGGTTTTCTAGTATTTACAAATACATATCCATGATCATCTGGGTTTCTCCACTGAGCTTTACAAACCTTTTAAATGTATCTCTGTCCATTCCGTGATTTATATACTGAATGATTTGAGATAAATCTTTATCGTTTAATTCAAATAATAAAAAACCATTTGCATTTTTTCTAATCCATAGAATCCATCCCGTAAAAAGATTGGGATTGGTATATGCAGTGACAGTTGTGATGTCTTCCTTTGGTGAAGAATTCTTGTTGAACAGTTTGATTTCTTTGCGCTACGCAGTCGTCAAACAATATTAAGTTCTTTCGATTGCTATCAATATTAGACAAGTCTAGATCATTAACATTTTTCGTAAGAAAAACTTTTATATCCGTTGGATTCTTTCCTTCAATGTAGTTATCTATGATATCTTTTATTTCCACTTCTTCGTTTTCTTCGTAATATTGAAATAGGTCTTGAACATCTTTCTTTGGTAAATATTCCAAAGCTTTGAGGAATTGATAATACGATTGCTCTGGTGTTGTTGTGTAGATATACAGAGAATCGAAATCTAAAAGGTTTGGTGTTGTCAACATGTTAAAAGTGAGATGAGTTTTCCCAGAACCTGAACTACCGCATATACACATGAGCATTGGGTTATTAGGAAATATTTCTGAATGATTAAATTTTTTGCCCATTTTTATTTATTACATTTTCGTACCAAAAATCACCCCGTTGCCTTTATACTTTGAAAGGAAGATTCCCTCGCCCGAACGTATGTTTTTAAAAAATATGGCGTCACCCTTGTGTTTGACCTTCATTTCTCAGGTGTCGATTTTATCTATTAATTTGCTTAATCCCTCTTTAACGGTTTTCTTGGTTTCTTCGCCAAATCTTTGTCCGAATTCTTTAACCGTCCCTAATATATCTCCTATTCCCGAACCTCCTCGTGCTTCTCTTTCCATTGCCAAATTGTGTCTACGTTCTTCAGCTTCTTTTACTGCAGCTGCTTTATTGGCGTTGGCAGCTTTGACTGCGGCAGATATTCCTCCAGTAGCTGCACCAGCTGCAGTTAAACCAGCAAAGATTAAAGGTAAGAAAGGTAAAAATCCTCCTTTTTTAGTTAAATTCTCATCAATTCTTTCCAAGTCTATATCGTCTCTGACTTTGCAATGTTTGTATTTATCGATAATCCTTTGGGTTATATGCACTTTTTTACCGTTGTAAGTTATTAGAGTCGGTGAATTCGTTTCCATAGCTTCTATTATTTTCATAACTAAAGTTTCTGGTTTCATTTTTAAAGGGTGTTTTTTTATTCAATTCTTATCATTCTTCTATCTGATATTTTAATCAAATGTTTTGCTTCTTCCAGCAATAAACAGTAGCCGGTCACATCTCCTTGTGTTTTATCGATGTGAATATTTATGTTCACCCCTGTTTTGAAGAGATCTTCTTGATGAGCTGACAGATCGAAACAAAAGATTGGATGATTGAGTGAAAAATCTGTGTATTCAAACTGAGGCGTATTTCCAAACAATTCGCACATGTTTTTATAGTTTCTGTATAATTCGTTGTAATCTTTTTTTGGAAGGATCAATTGTCAAAGGTTGATTGGGATAATTATCGTTGTTCAATCTGACTTGAACTTTGCGAATGATGGGATCTTGAGTATGGTTCAATGCCACTCTGAAAATGTTGTTGTTGTTTGTCTGAGAGTCTGGCAAGTTTTTGAAACCGACCATTAGATATCTCGCTGGTTTAATGGTGTTGGTGATTGGCCACGTGGTGAATTCTCCCGTTAAAGTCATGCTACCTACCGTGTTACGACGAAGAAAAGCAATTTCGATGTCTTTGGTTAAAGTTTCCACTTCTACGGAAGGAGTAATTACCGGTATGTAAAGTTGGATATTCGTTATTTCCAATTTTGCATCTGAACCATTCTCTCCAAAGAATATCTTATCGTTGTTGATTTCTCTTTGTAAATGAATTTTATACGGTAAACCTATGGAAACCTTTCTGTGTTCCAAGAGACCAAATAAAGGATACAACTTCCAATTTACGTAATTACCCCATCTGTTGTTCTCGACGACATTGTTGTATTGAAGCGCTCGTTTTTCAAATCCGTGATTTACTCCGCGAGTCACTCTTTCCAGTGTGTTTCTAGCAACTACCCTTATCCTAGCAAGGTCTGCGTCATTTGCTACAGTTCTGATCGGTTCTTTTAAAACTTCTCCGTCACCGACATCGGGAATCCATCCCGAAACTGAATCGTAGTTTTTGGGATAGAGAACCGTTTTCAACATTGTGTCAAACTCGCCGGGGTGTTTTATGGTCTCTATCGGATTTGAACCAGCTTCCAAAACCATTTCGCTGAATAAAGACGGAAAGAAGTTGTTTTCTAAAGTCGTGTTGGTTTGTGGAATTCGATTCTGAGCGGCGTCTTTGATTTTGAAATCGCATCTGANATGGGCATCGGAAAGCAGCAACCAATTGGACAACGAATTAATTTCAAAGGTAACTCTTCCTCCGTCGTTTATTTGGGTCTTTGTCCCTACCG